TATATTTCTTTAGTTGAGCTCTGGTCATCACACCATCAAAGCTAGGTCACATGGGTACTATCTGCAAGTGTGGTCGTTCTTTTCTGTCTCCCCCCACTTCATATCAGCTGGTTGCTTCAATCTCAGCTCTAGCCCCCAGTGGCTAGGTCAAAGTCCATGGGCTCAGGAACTTCCAAGTCTCCCCAAACTTCAGACCAACCAGCCCTTCCTCTTCTCTCTCTCATCTTGAGGTCAACAGGAGTCTATGGAATGTGGTTGAACTCAGCCCATATCTCCATTACTGACAATCCCCCACTTCCATTCACATGTTGACCAATATGGTCACCAGCTAGCTTACATGCCTGCTTGTGTGTTTCCTTTGAGTTTCAGTATTGGAGGGAGGTTTGTCCTCAAGAGACCTGATTGCTGAACTTACTCTCCTGGTCCTATCAAACTAGAGGGGAGACTGAGCAATGTAGTGTAGAGGTATGCTTGGGCGGGAAATGAAAAAGATTTATATATGTAATATGTCTGCTTCATAGTCTGTTGCTGACTGCTGGCAGTTTTACTTCTGAAGATTTAAGGTTAAATGATCCCACTCTTTTTCCCTTACCCATTAAGCCTATGTCTGAATCCATGTATATGTATGATGTTGTTGATGTCATCCCACAACTCCTCTGGCCTTTTGTCATCAGAGTCCAGTGCATCATATGTGTTCATGAGATGGTCTCTAAATTCAGGTGTGGTATGTTTAAGGTTACATTTTGGGTCTCATAGACTTTTCGTTTTCTTTAACATCAGCCTGAACTGGTATGAGCAATTGATAGTGTGTTCCATAGTTAGCCTCTGGCCTTGTTTTGGCTATTGGTATCTCTTTCCACAGATGTAGTTATTTGGATTCCAGGGTATTCTATCTGGTGAGGTCCACATGTGTAGTCTTTTATATTGTTAAATAAAGGTGTTTGCAATAAGTCATTTGTCTTGAAACTTATTAACATGTGATCTTCAACATCCTTTCTGTTACCCAGGCCATATTTTCCAACTTCTGAGACTTCCTCTATATTTCTTTTGTATTTCAATCACCACTAATTATCAATACATCTTGTTTAGTCCATTTCAGACTAAAAAGTTTGGAAGAACTCTTCAATTCATCATATTTGGCTTTAAAAGTTAGTGTATAAATTTGGATGATAATCATGTTACCTGGTTTTTCTTTTAGGCATATGGAAATTTTTCTATCATAGACAACATTGTATTTCCAGATAGAACGTGAAATGCTTTTTGATGCTGAGTGCAATGCTATTTCTCATCAATTTGTCATTCCAGCATAGTAAACCATATGATATTCTGATTTAGAAGGACTAGTGCCAGTCCATTGAGCTCACTAACGCAGAGGTTATCTATCAATCTATATGTGTTTTATTTCATTTTTAATGACTTCTGAGTTTCCTAGATCTATACTTTATACATTCCATGTTCTGATTCTTAATGTATGTTTCTCCTCATTTTGAGTTTCGTCTGTCAGCAAATGTAGGTCTCAAAAGTTTTGCCCAATCCACTTCATTAAGGTTTATTCTGCCTCTTAAAGAGGCAGTTCTTTCACATTTTCATTTTGAGTGCCTTCCAACCTGAGGACCTCATCTTCTGGCACCGTATCATACAAAATTCTGCTGCAATTCATAAGGTTTTCAATAGCTAACCTTCCAGAAATGGTCTACTTCTTCCTAGTGTTTCTTAATCTAGAAGTTCCACTGGTGGTCGTGGTGGTGTGCCATGGGGTCAGTTCCGACTCATAGCAACCCTATATAGGGTTTCCAAGGCTGTAAATCTTTAGGGGACCAGAAAGCCTCATCTTTCTCCTGTGGGCCTGCTGGTAGTTTTGAACTGCTGACTGTGAGATTATCAACCCAATTCATAACCACTACGCTCCACTAGGAGCTCTGGTAGTATAGTGGTTACGAATCAGGCTGCTAACCTCTAGGTCAGCAGTTCAAAACTACCAGACGTTCTGCAGGAGAAAGATGAGGCTTTCTGCTCCCATGAAGATTTACAGCCTTGGAAACCCTGTGCAGGGTCATTATGAGTCAGAACTGACTCCACGGTCCTTAACAACAACAACGTTCCACTAGAATTTGTCTATCATGGGTGACCCTCACTTGTGGCATAGCTTCCAGCACACAGCAACAAACAAGCTACCACAGTACTGTAAATGATAGACAAGTGGTGGTGGAGAATCTCAGGACTCAGTACTATTTCTCAAGGAATCTGTTCGTCCAGTGTTAGTACTGTAACCCTTATACAGTGTCTACTGTCTGATAAAAAGTCATCTCTATTCTCCTACCTGCTCTGTCAGTTTCTTCCGCACATCCATCTTCTGTACTACTTGTAGAGGGACCTCTGTGTAACACCAAAGACATGTTTTGTCACTCCTCCAGTTAATATCCTTTACGATTCTCCACTACCACACACACTTAACAAAGCACTGAGGTATAATAAGCCCAGGGGATTGAAGAATTAAGAAACATACTTGGGCACAAACTGTGTCTAACTAAATATCATTGCCTTGACATTTTGTTGGAAAAGCAGCAAGATTCTGGACTCATGTTACAGTTATATGTGAATATGCACAATTGATAAATAATTGTTATGTTGTATGTTCATCAGTCTTAAAAGTATCACTACTTCTTTCACTATTATTTAAAGAATGTGGAAACACTAGAACTAACAAATATGTCAAAATGATGATTGGGATAGGCCTATAAGGAAAGGTTAAGGAATACTTTGGCTTGCTTAGACTTTCTATTTTGCTACAGAATTAATGGGACAATTTTTTTCCCCCTCCAAACTGCATATTATTCTAATACAAAGAAAACCTTCCTCCTCCTTTATTTTTGGGTGAGGATAGGGATTCAAGAGAACACTGACTTAGGTTTTAACATTATTTAAAACTTTCAGTTTTCAATATTTTTCTTTGCACAAATACAAGGACTTGCATGTTTAGTAATAATTTTAGCTAGTAATCTAATTGTAACATGCTGTAGAGTTTCCATTATCTTGTAGAACTAGTTGGTTTTTGGATTTCCTTTTAATCATGTTCTTTATTCATATTCTCCCCTAATTAGAACAAACTAGAACAATAAATAGCAAGAAGAAAAATATCCCGGATTTTACTTTACATATATTAGAAATTATCCTTGGTAATTTTAATTGTGGTTTAATCAATATTTAATCACTGTTTAAAGAACACTCAATGAAGAGTATTAAAGTAATTAAAATTGACAGTAAAGATATCTGAGGTCATTCTGGAGGTTGGTAACCAGGCAGCAGAAAACATGCAGAATTATCCAGAATATTTTGAGGATTAGGGTTTATCACCTCTGCCACATTCATTGTGCTGAACTTACTCTCCTGGTCTTATCAAACTAAAGGGGAGACTGGGCAGTGTAGTGTAGAGGTATGCTTGGGAGAGAAAAGAAAAAGATTTACATATGTAATGTATCTGTTTCAAAGTCTTTTGCTGAATGCTGGCAGTTTTACTTCTAATGATTTAAGGTCAAATGATGATTCTGAATTATGTTCAGAAAGCAGTTGCCATTCAGTATTATTAATGGTCAAGTTGTTGTTGTTAGGTACCGTCGAGTCAGTTTTGACCCATAGTGACCCTGAGTAGGGTTTCAAGGAGTGGCTTGTGAGCTTGAACCTCCGACCTTGCATATCAAGCCAACTTTGCAGTCCAGTGCGATAACCCACAGTGCCACATTTGAATTAGGAGACAGTCAGAACTCCATTAATGGTTATAGTAATGCCATTATCTGGGAGTAGCTAAGCTTTCTGCTCCTGCAAAGATATAAATTAAGCCTCAGAAACCCTGTACAGGGTTGCTATGAACTGGAACCGACTCGATGCCCTTACCATCAACCACAAAACAAAATTGGATTCTTTGTGTGGCTCTGAGTAAGCACTGGACTGCTAACTCAAAGGTTGGCAGTTCAAATTCATTAGCCACTCCTTGGAATGATCATTATGAATCAGAACTGACTCGACAGCACTTAACAACAACATAGCGATACAAAATTAGGACTCCTAGTGTGACGCTGTAGAATGATCACTGGATTGCTGACCTCAAGATTGGTGGTTCAACTCCACAAGCCACTCCTTAGAAACACTACACAGGGTTGCTCAGAGTTGGATTAGACTCATTGGCACTGAATAACAACAATACAGAGTTAACAGCCATGGTGGCACATTGGTGAAGCACTCAGCTGCTAACTAAAAGTTGGAGGTTCAAACCTAACAGCTACTCCATGGGAAAAAGCCGTGGCCTTGTGTGTGTCTAGCCCTGGAGATCCTGTGGGGCAGTTCTGCTCTGTCCTGTAGGGTCAGTATGAGCCAGAGTCAGCGTGATGGTAATGGGTTGTTTTGTTTTAATAGGGAATTGAGTAATACATAATAGTCACAGAGTTTATTCTCAATGCTGATAAATAGTTTCAAATTGCTTGTAGGTTTATATTTAAAATATTAGCATAGAAAAAAGATTAAAACTTTTAAAGAAACTATATACAGAAATTGGTGTGTTAATCAGATACTGTGTGTATACTGAAGTAACTTTTTATTAATGGTTTATTGCTTATAGTTTACATAAAATTTATCATCCTAGAATATAATTTAATATTTTTATAATTCATACTATTTTAAACACTGATTAATCTGAAGGTGTGGTGTATTACCTTAATAAAATATTGTATTTACATTAATATTGCAGCATGAAGAATAGATATTATCTATTCTCGGAATAGTGTTATAAGTGTAAATCTATTTTAGTGCTACAAATGTAACTGTTTAAATGCAAATGTGAAATAAATAGAAGTATGAGACAATATAATCATGATTCCTTTACATGTGACATAGTTTTCTGCGGCCATGCCCCTTTACCACTGCTTTATATTATTAAATGAAAATTTTACTTGAAAATTGTGTATGTGTTTAATATTACTGAAACATTTCAATTTTGTTCCTTTTAGGCCTACGGCATGTCAGCATTACCTTTAAATCTGATAAAAGGCACTAGAAGTACTGCTTATGAACGTTTAGAAAACACTGAAGACATTGAAGAAGTAGAGCAACACATTCAAACAATTAAATCAAAGGTGAGTTGGTGTTTTGTTGTAATATGGAAACATAAACTTACTTCCTCATTCATCTCCTTATCTGATGTGATTAAGACATTGGCAAACCCATTCTTCTTTGCATTGCTTAATTCTTTGTGCCATATATCCTTTAAGAACCAAGCATATGTATTATATAATGCATCTTTTGTGAAATGTAGCACACTGACAGTTTGAAGTTTGTATCAGTGTTCTAATGGCTTTGCTAGTTTTCAGGTATGCTGGTTTCATATGCATCATCAGATTTTATTCTAACTCATATTCAATTTTTTATACTAGTTGAAATAAGCTAAACATTACATGTAACTTTTGGTCAATTAAATGTACTACTCCTTCAAGTAACAGATAAATGTTAAAAT